AAAGGTGTTCACATATGGGTCATGGGTGTGTATACACACTTCAGAATTTAAAACACTGTTACTGAAGGTTTCAACTGAGATAAATTAACTACATTAAAATACTGACAGTGTGAAAATAAATGTTTATGTCCAATACTCCACAGAAGATTATCTCCTTGTGAACTTCTAAAAAAAAAAAACGTAAATAAAGAAAACAAGAATACAAGTATGAGAAACCAGAGTCCTTGAGAAGGACGGGTGAGCATGTCAGTACTGCCAGGGTCACAGCTTCCCATTCTCCTCGCCACCGTCCTTCTCCTCTATTGCTTCCAGGCTGCGCTTGCCCTTGGCTTCAGCACTACTGCTGGGGGCTTTACTCAGTCCACAAGACAAGCATGCCAGCTGGATCTGCTTCATGTTTTCTATAGCTTCATTCTTGGCATTCTTCAACAGGTCTCCTTGTCCCTGCAAACAGGTAGAAATAGACACCAAAGAAGATAGTTAGGGGCCGGGCTCATCCTGAGTGGCATTGCTGTATATCCTGAGTGCTATTTCTAAATGATGAAATAGACCCAGACCTGCAAACTCTCCTTTCCAGGGTCTACTCAAGGGTTTTTGCTTGATTTATTAAAGGACTTCAATTCCAGGACCTTAACCTAAGCCTTCTCAATTGATTCTATGATTGCTGGCAGTCCCTTGAGATTCCAATAGTGGGGAACCCCCTCGTTATGCATTGAGGACAGTTGATCCTTCCATCATGGTGTTCTCAGACRTTGAATATTGCTGCAATTTCTACCATCCAGACCTAGCATTCCTAAGCTCAGGAGGAATCAAGGAAAGATGTCTTTCCTTAAACAACYGAAAATTAAATCAGCCCTCGGTATATCAGAGCTTACAAAGCAGAGCATCTTCACTACAGTAAATTACACACCCTTACACTTGCTGAGCTGGTTGTTAATATATTGAGTTATCTTGTAATTTGCCTGTTGATAAATTATTAGTTACCCACATTCCTTCTGTGTTTTCYACCATCCAGAGGACAATGTTCCCATCTGGCTAATGGAAAAAAAGACTCTCCAGAGGCTCAACATGTCAATCAAAACAAAAAGTAAAAGAAGATTGCAGAGACACATTAGCTATCATTTACATCAGTGCCTGAGAAACACATTTTTCACACAATTTTTATTTTTTAATTTCAGTTCATTGTTAAAATACAATCACTGTTACTGGCCCAGGGGCTGAAGGGGTGGGGAAAGGTACAGGAGTAGGAACACATTTCTATAGTGTGTAGACAAAAGAATATGAAATAGCTTCCCACTCTCTCCCTTCCAYTCTCACGACAATGCCTGCAAGTGTGACCATGAAATTGTGAAGGACAGTATGGGATTGCTGAGCATTCTTCTATAAAGCAGTGGTTCAGAGAAAGCATAATTCACCCGTTATATGCACAGTACTCCATGATGCATTGCTATGCCTCTTTAATTGGATGAATACTTTTTCCTTAAATTGCATGAGGAAATGTGGGATTAGATATGCCTTGGAATATTTAATTCCCCAAAAATCTATACAGGCACATGGCAAATCTATCCTATGCAATGACAGCTAAACTCTTCTAATAGCCTTTAGCAATATGGGATGGGTAACTGGGCTTTGCCTAAGGTTTGTRTTAAAATGAACTTCCCATTCATGGAATGGGATTTTAGAATTAAAATTGTATCCCTGGAGGATACAATTTAGCCTTCTCATTAAGGGAAATTAAGCTGAGCCTGGGGAGGTTAAATGATTGGCTCAAGGTCACAGCTGGCTGATGACTGAGATGGACTAAAGTTCAGGTCTTTGGTCTCCAAGTTCAGTGTTCTTTCCACACACCATGTGGATAATCTAAAGACGACAGACTGAGGACCATYAGGGAGAGATGTATTTTCTGAAATATTCACAAAACCAGCAGAGTTTTAGGAGTTTCTTGCTAAGACTATGGATAATGAACGAGTCCCTTATGGACACTAGAAAGTGAAGTCACATCCACCTAGGAAAAAGCAATTCTTAAGTGATAATAATACAAATAAATTGCTTACTCTGTGCAGAAACTCTTCTTCGTGCTTTACGTGCATTCATTTGTTAAATTGTCACAACATCTATAATGTCGGTACTTTTCTTAGTCTCAAGTTACTGATGGTTCAGAGTGATCACCTTTCCCGAAGTCATACAGCTGCTACATTGTAGAGCTGGGTTGCTTAAGGGTCTGTGGTCTGCACCACTTCATGTTATGGCATCTTTTAAGACAAAGCATGCACCCTCTTTAGAGCACAGTAAAGCCACCTATTTATTGTTACCCATAGCATCAACATAGACAGAAAAAAGTCATTGCCCACATGACACAGCCTGGCAGAACTTAGAGATGAGAGCTGAGGTCAGGAAGACAGGGTGTAGCAAGAATGTGCTGGCAGGGGTGTAAGTTGGGTATATTCCACCATTTTCAACCTGGGCCACTCTCTCTTCTGTAAAAACGAGGAAAATATTTCCAGACCTTCCTCAACAGTTCTAAGATTAAATAAAGTATGGTAAGTCATTTACAATTTAAATTATAACAGGTAAACTGTTCTATAAGGTGATGTGGAAAACAGTTAACATTTTCTGCTACAATAATAAATATTTTGGAACTGTGTGTATTTTAGTATAGATTTGACAAAATCTGTTTTAAATCTATCTACAAGAGTCTGTTCTACAGAAATATGTCTATTGCTGCTGATTTTACAAGTGGAAAGATTMCTTTAAAAACAAGCTATGTTAATAATGAGATTATCCATGTTCATTTTAGAGAATTACTTACAAGTGTTCCCTTTTCACTTATTTTACTCAAGCATTTTAGAAGCAAAATTGGCATCTTCCCTGACTGTAAGACAGCAGCAAAACATACAAAAATATCAAGCTTGATACTATTAACATTCTCACATCCCTTTTCCTACAACAGGTTAGAAAATGCATTTTAATCAGTCAAAATGCCATCAGTTCTAAGAGGTGGCATCCAAGCCTAAATGCCAGACTGTGCCAGTTTCTGGTAAAGTCAGTCTCTCKGGAAAACAATGGCCAATGGAGAAAACAGTTTGTACCAGTGCACAAGAACACAACTACATCATCTCCTGATGATAACTCCGGAGATAATACATGTCACTGCACTCCAGGCAGAAAACAAACAAACAAGCAGGAAATTCAGAAGCTAAACTATGAACTAATAAAGTCAGCAAAGCTGAAAAGGTGATAAAGAGCTTATGAGCAGCTTACATTGAAATATTTGTATAGAATTTTGTTTTCTTTTAAGGAGGAGGAATAGGGGTCACCTTTCTGTTCTGTTTCAAGGAATCCCATACTGTCTCTTTTCTTTGGATCCTCCCAATTAAGCCCCCAGAACAAGAAAAGACTTCTAGGCAGTGTTCAGTTGGTTAATAGTCCCCAGCTTAGCATTTCTTTTTACTGGTGACTTTTCTGCATTTTATGTACAGAAAATTCCCCCAGCTATCTAGTAACCTCCCTCTCGCTTTTGTCACAAACACTAACTTGCCAGGTTACACCAGATCTCCTCCTCCTAACATCTCTGCCCTATATAGCATTTCCTCCAAGATGTATTAAGCAAAATATTCATTATGTCGTGTGTATGCAAGGTATCTCCTTACAGGGCATTCCTAAGATCATTTTAATTCTGTTCTTTTCAAACAGAGGGTCTTGCAGGAGGAGAAAGAGAAGCCCAGGAGAATCTGTTTTACTTAGTGGTATCTAAATTGAAACACCGCTTGCATACTAAAATAAGTCTGGGACTGTTACAGCATGGAATGCAAAATTAATGCACTATTTGACCACAGAACATTCAACTTGAAAGAAATGTCAAGCTGCTGCTGGCTTTTCTACACAAGCAATCCCATGGGGACACATAGTTTCTCTCCCCCTGATACTGGGGAAGCTTCAGGGAAAAAATGAGGACTGATTCTTCAACCCAAAGGAAAATAAGGGTAATATAGGGCATCTCTTCTGGCCCAGGAAAGTTCATAGGATGAAAAGACTAAGAGTCCCGAGCATGATGGCCACCATTCATCCTTCACAGTCATTTGGTTTCTGAATTGAGATCCACATGTAGAAAGCAATAGCTGGAATCATGGAAAACCACAAAGAGATCATCATAGAAGTCTGAATCTAAAAATTAATGATGATTGGTGAATATTTTAAAAACAAGCATTCTTTGCTAAATCCTTCCAATTAGGTTAAATTGCAATTAAAGTACATTATCTAGAAATTAGAAAATACCCTATGCAATTTACACTGTTGTCTGAATTGCTGTACCTTCTCACCACAGTTTTGATTATTTCTAATGAATTGACTACTAAAATGAAAATACAACTCTAAAGAGTAGTTAATATGTTGAAAACACTATACTAAGTATGAACCAATGTGCATACATTACCTCATTAATTCATAATCATAAGAGGCTAGAATACTAAATCTAAATTATTCATTAATTATATATCTTTTTAAAATTTTTTTTGGTTGTAGATGGACACAACACCTTTATTTTATTTATTTATTTATTTTTATGTGGTGCTGAGGATAGAACCCAGTGCCTCATATGTGCTAGGCAAAGCTACCATCCCAGCCCGTTATATATCTTATGATCTATCAGAAGACATTAGGGTTCTAGTTATTCCTGTTCTTACCAAGAAATACAGTTCCCCTCCACTGTGTGAAAATAGATTTGACTATAATCTGTCATAGTAACTCACAAAAGACACTCGTGGCTCCTTCACACCCATTTTCCCATGAACTGTACTATCCCTTGTGATGTTAGTGCAGGAAAAAGCAGGGGTACATCACAACCACTGTCCTCATCACGTGTGAAGGAAATGTGTGGACTACTGCAGAGCACACCACAAATATTTAAAGCAGCTAACTGGGACTCTGGGAATGGAAAGACCCTCACATGTATACAAGTACAATAAACAAATGGAGCTCTGTCTCTAGGCTAATCCTTCAAGTGTCTCTGAGCACACACTCAAGGGCAGAGAGGCTTCCCCGATACTCCTTCCATAGGAGAGTCTGTATCCACAACTAGACTCACACATGGATGGCACTACCATAAAAGTTGGCTACAGACACCACTGTTGAACCAGCAGCTCTTTATGCATTCCAGATATTGGTGGACCATATTGTGGTAGGCTGGACACAACAATTACCTTCCTAGTTCAAACACCATGGTTTCTGGAATCTCTCCATCATTTCAAGAGGTTAGATGCTTTGTTCCAAAGAAATAGAAACAACAGTTATGATGTCCTTCATTTGGGAAATTAAAATAATGGAGTCAAAATATTTTTAAATCATGACAGATATTTTTCTCTTGATGTTACACTTCTGGTACATTGCTATGTTTGAAATATTGGGTAAAACTATTTAAAGAGGACCTGATTCTTGGTTTCTAGAAT